ACACACTGCACATATCGCGTTCCATTTAAGCGTGGCAAACTGTGTTTGAGTGTGTTATACTGTGTCGGTTTGTGTCTCCTAAAAGGAAAGCAGCCTTAACTAGCTTACTTAAAGCGGGGAGCACAGACTCTTGCATAACGCATAACACATGAGGCATAAGAAATTGAACCAACCAGAGTTCTCTATTACATGGAAGGGAAAGAAACGGAGAGCTTCGATTGGTACATATTCTTACGCATTACGTGTTATGCGTTATGCAAGAGTCCGTGCTGCGGCCTTTACGTGTGCGCGCACACACGATCTCACACACAATATTTAAATAACCGAAGAATAGAGAGTACTTGAATTAAACAGTAAACTGAGTAAACTGCGTATTCTTTGGGAGCTTTCCAGCGGAGGTGATCCGGTGATTAGCGGGATTAGCCATATTTCGAATGTTCTAAGGAGATAATAAATTAGCAGCGAAGCTGACAGTAAAAGCAAGGAAGCGGCTGAAATTAATGTAACTTGAGAGAAGTTTTACGAGATAATCGCTTTACGATGATAATCCGGAGAAAAGTGTGGCCGCGGACCATCAGCGATCTGCTGTCGATGGCCTTCGTCCTGACTGCAGCACCCCTCATGTACTGGTTTGGATTGTGGATTGTTCTGCCAGAATTGTACGGGGACGAGAGAAGATTGACGTACATGTTCCATTTCGTCCTTGGCAACTTCATTATGTTGAATATCGTAGGTAACTTTACGTATACGGTGCTGTGCGACACCAGCACCGGTGGGTCTGGGCAGATAGTACCAGTAAGCACTGCGAAGGCAGCGGACGGTTGGAGACTTTGCGCAGCCTGCGAATGCTTGTCACCGCCACGTTCGTGGCATTGCAACACCTGCGATACCTGCATCCTCAAACGCGATCACCATTGCGTGTTCACCGGCTGTTGCATAGGCTATTACAATCATAGGTACTTTGTCATGTTCCTGTGGTACTTGTTCCTTGGTGCAGCGTATGCCTTCTACTATGGCAGTCTCTTCATTTGGAGCAGGATACCCTTCGAATTTCCAATGTCTATCATCAAGATGGTCTTTCCCGTCGCAATCTTCTTCTTTGGCTTCGACAGCTCCATCGATCAATTCTACTTGTTGCTGTACGTCACGTCGGCGATGGGTACTTTATATACCGGAGTGTTGTGCATTTATCACTTTAATTTGATTCTCAGGGGTGTTGTGGGAAATGAGAGCAACAGGAAAGATTTTACATACAATATGGGTTGGAAGGACAACATTAGGGAGGTATTTGGAGAACGATGGTATCTAACATTGTTGCTTCCTTATATAAAGTCACAATTACCTCACAATGGAGTTTCATGGCATCGCTTGAGCTTGAAAAAAGATTGAATTACTGTGATTAAGTGTTGTGATTCTTTTCAAATTATGAAATGTGTTACAAATATTAAGAGTATCCAAGATATCTTGACGGCCAAAGAACAGACTAATTTCAATGGTTAAAAAGACTTTGATTTTTTTAAACGAAGCATATATACTAACGGAAGTAATTAATAATTTATTATACTTTAATAAAGCGTGTCATCTATTTCGTATAACTGTTGCAAATAAGATTTATATCAAACACACGGTATTATATAATTTTATTCAGTATATATACACAAATCATCGTGTATATATATATATATAAATACGTCAAAAATTTCTCAACTTTCTTCTGACTTAGAGCTGGTTGTTCCACCTTTTAGTAAATTTTATACAACTAGGAAGTCTTGGCAATCTGCGCGTATGATTATGGGTAATCTCGCTAGTTATCTATTACAACTCGTAAAATTTACCGAAAGGAGGAACAGGCAATCCTTAATTGTCTGATATATTATTTTTTTAAGAAAATTGCGATTGAAATACTTTATGAAGCATGTCGATTTTTGTTACTAGTTTTAAAGACAACAGAATATTTAATTATACGAGTATTTTATTAAAAAACTGTACATATAAGAAAGACGGTGGTTTATATACATAATCAGTAAAAGAAGAAACAATTTTTCTCGGATATCTATTTACAAATTAAATATTCATAAAGGATCGACTTTTATCGGCATAGACATTTGTAACTTGTAGCTCACAACCATAATCTTTTATACGATCTCTCTCATGATTTTCCTAAATTTCGCTACTAGTGTACTGAAAATCGGTAGTGTACGTAATGTGAGGTAAATAAATTTTCAGTGCTTGTAGTAAATTTTGGAACATGGCCTCTGATTACTTGAATTTACAATTACATTATGCTAACCAGAGATTATATAATTTGACATTTTGTTTGTTCAATATTTAATTAAATATCAGCAATCATGTGTACTTTTTCCTTATCTGAACACTCATTTACCCTAAACGGTATAAAGTTTCTCATGCAAATAATATAAAGTGTAAACAAACTATATAAAATAATATAAAAGGAAGGCGCATGTAAATATTTCAGGAAGCGCTTGAAGCTAGAATACAATGGTAGAGTATTATTTTTCGATACCTGATATACTGTGGTAATTAACTATATTGTGATTTTATACTGTTTAGGGTTTCCAATACAATGTATAATAATAATAATAATACAGTTCCGAGAGAAAATCATTTTACGATCAATCACATCGCTTTCAGGTAAAAAAGAAGCGCTAAACACTCGTATTATTTTTTATGACATATTGGTTTCATGATTATAAATGCATATAATCTCTAACATGCTACAGAAAGATGAGAGAACACACATTATTCTGTACATGTAGTGATATTAAATAATCGAATGTACTTTATGAATTATATGTATGTACTTGAGTCATTCTTATCTTGTCTTTTGTAGGAGGGTAGTTCGAAAAGTTTTCGACCTGATACAGAAATGATGAAAGATTACGTGAAATCTGGTGAAATGGTATTTACAGGACCAATTCATGAAATTTTGCGACTGCAATTGAAAAAAAAAATGAGAGGGTGCATTGTCATAACGCAACCAAAAGTTGGTTGCTTTACATAACCAAAAGTTGGTTGTTTTACACAACCAAAACAAAGAAATTAATGAACGCATCTGTCTGAAATTTCAACAATAGCCCTGTGAAGGATCAAACTTGTTTAAAATTATAGCCGGTATATTTGATATTTGTGGCGTCAGGCTAAGAACTTTTCGAACTTTATATATATATCCTCATATACTATAATCAGACATATATCTATATTTCTTTATTTTTTACAAAATGATGCGAACATATAAATATAATAGAAATCACTTCTCATAAAAATTGATAATATAATAAAGATATATTCTTTGGACGAGTTTAAGGCAACATTACAAAGTACATATAATCGTTAGTTGGAAAATTTTGAAGAGAATTTTATAATTGATCGCAATTCAATTTTCATTTAGAAAAACACGCGAAAGAATATATCGTCTGGTTTTGAGAGCATTCGATATAAAATGCTGCTTTGCTCAGTAAAAAAAAATTTTAATATATTTTTTATATAATCTGCAAAACATCTGATTCCGATTAAATATTTCTTTACTTGGAATCGAGAGAGAGAGAGAGAGAGAGAGAGAGAGAGTTTTTTGAATTATTTTAGAGCTTAAATCCATTTTGATTTGATTGGTTTCTTATCATCGATACTATTTGTTTCGCTATAGGCGCTATCAGTTTAATGCAGAAAAATTCTTGAATTGCATTCGCTCGAATGCAAATTCGACTTTCGTTGCCGTTGGAATGATTATTATAGCTGGAGGATATCACAACCTAAGAATTTGAAATTTAAGAGTTATCTTGGAACTTGAGTGTCTGAGTGATACTTGCTGGTCCAAAAATACGTTATACGATTATACGCATAGAGTGCAAAGTATAAGAAAAAAAGATTATACTTTGGACAGTAGATTAATGTGACTCTTTTTTTTATATGTCCTTTTAACGGCGAACTTGATGCATACTAATACGAGTATTGCAGCAGAGGTAACGTACAACACCACGCAGATGCTGATATCGAATATGTTCAAGTCCCAACCAAAAGCCGTGGCGCGCTTCGTCTCCTTGGCGAGTCTTTCTAGCCTCATTCTCGAGTCGTTGCCATTAGTCATATCTACTTCATCAGAAGCGCTGATTTCATCGAACTTGATGCTATTATAGTCATATTTGACTTTTAGATAACGTAAAACCTCCTCCTCATTCCAGCTATTGTTAACGTGTCTGCATACCGGGCAGTGCTCAGCCGCGGGATATTGTATCTTTTTGTGCTCGGGATCCTCCGTATCGTCGCCTGACAATCTGGCGTTTACCCGATTGTGTGCCTGCCACAACCAGAGCACTGCTTCATCTTTGCTACGCACGTCGAATATCTTGTTTTTGTCGGCCATCTCCAGAAAATGCGTAGCACAGTCGGCGCAACCGAAGAAGGTTCCAATATAGCCATGCATCGCCCGTAGCACCGCCGTAGGATTCCGTGAGAAAGTCTGAGTAACATCTTTGTTGCGTTCTAACGCGAAATTTACAGTCAGCATGTGAAACATGATCCACAATCCGCAAGGATATCCACGATATGAATCCGTACTTCCCTTACATCCTATCCATTGACGGGGCGCTCCAGAGTATACCGGCGACATTTCTTCCTCCGTCGTCTTCGCTAGTTGGCTGAACTCTTCGCCGGTCATAGTATTCTTCTTCTCGACAACGTCGCGTATCACCTCCAAATATACGTTATTACGTCGCAGAGGGAAATACGTCGCTAGCACCACAAGATATTTCCGTAATGCCTTCATTTTCTCACCATCTATTGACTTCATCAATGATATCTCGTGATTGATTGAATAACGTAGCGCATTCTCTAGATCAATTTGATACAAATAATCATTGATGTTTTTCGACGATTGTAATTGTTCCTCTACCACTTGGTGATTCTTTATAATCGTTGCGATTGTCGTTTGATGTGTGATTTCCACAACATGCATAGTATTATGGGACACTGTCGTAATCATCTCATCGATATTCACTCCTCTCGCGATTACATAATCCTTGATAGCTTGCCGAATTCCCTGCCTCGTCGGTATTCTCACGCTGATAATCCTCTGTGATTCATTGCGTCCAAAGGCTATCAAAGTTGGGAACTTGGTAACTTTATTCATTACGCACAATAGTTCGTTGTCGGAAGTCACTCTACGTATCTGCAAGCTGCTGATTTTATGTAAATCAAGAATGACCTCCGCGCCCAAGTGTGAATCCGTGCTCTCGAAAATCAGGAAGAAATGTTTTACATTGCTAGATGCTGTTTTCCATATGTCCGTTATTTCCACATTCCTATGAACAAATTATAGTATTTTTGTAATGTAAAAATAGAGTGTATAAATAACAAATAACGTATTTAAATACAACAGTTTATGAAACAATTTTATTTAATCCTTATTATAAAAATAGTTGATAATTTTTCTCTATTAGAATTTTTTTTATTTAAAACATTATTTAATAATAATATATTTTATTTATTACTATATTATATATATATATATACACACATACATATATATGTATAATATATTTTCGTTACATTATTGTGTATTATTAAGTATTATATTAGATCGCGATGTGAACACGCAACGGATAAGAAATAAAGACTAAGCAGCCAAGCTTGAATTTAAAGTGCTAAAACAATTCTTTGTATACTTTGATAATAACGTGTAAATTTAAAAGTCGCAAATCATGCAAATAGAGTTTTAGGAAAATTATAACAAAACTTATAAAAAAGCGGGACAAAAGGTCTTCAATAACATTTGTACTAGTTGTAAGAAAATAACTGACTTAAAAGGATTAAAGAAAAATTATTTTGGAAAAATTTATCTTCTTGATTTATTCACAATCACGAAAGAAAAAAAAATTGACTTTTCGTCTTATTCACAAACATTAAACTATTATAAATTTGATAATGTTTAATAAAAAACTCTAACGAAATAATTATAAATATGTTTTATATATCACGGTCTGTCTTTAAATTTGTGAATTATATAAATAATTATAAAAAATTATAAAAAATAATGGATTATACATGCGCGGAGAAGAAAAATTAATTTTTTGTTTAGTTATAACGAGAAGGTACCCAGGAATTAGCTGTGGAAAATTTATGACATACCTATATGGTGCAATGTTGGGCCATGTAGATCCTCGTCCTTCCTGTTGTTCCGTTTCAAGCCTATTAATTAAATTACTTCTCACTGAATCAACGCTGTCCCCTTTTTCTATCACTATACCCAAGGACGGCGAGTGTGCGTTTATAGAGAAATATTTTAACATTGGATAGTGCATGATCTCATACTCACGACAGATCGGATTGTTGTCATCATCGGCACAATCTATAGCCGAAACGACAACAATGTCATTCCAAGCTAAAAGATAATTTTTATTTATTTAATTATTATGTTATGTATCTGTATTTATTTAATTATTATGTAGTATATGTAAATGAATAAAAAATAAACGATTTCGTGGACACCGTTTTCTCTTTTCTATTCCGACCAAAAAATTAATTTTTCAAGAAGATTACTCAGATAACTAGATTTGACACAAATAGTTTATGTAGCGTCTTTCCTATAACTATTTGCTCGCGAGGTTACTTGAGAACTTACATAAAACATCACTTGCCAAAGCCTTCCACGTCGGTGCGAATCTGTAACAAAAGCCGCACCAACTGTTATAAAACTCAACGAGCCAACTCCGGGTGCTCTCGTAAACACTTGTTTTGAAATTTGTGGCATTGAGTATTACTACATCATCACTGACATTATATAAGCCTTGACCACCTAGGTTAATCAGACTTTGAGACTGATCCTTATGAGCTATCGCAGTTGCGCTGTTCCAATTTATCATTAGAATGTTGAATAGGCACAATCTTAGTATAATCCCTGTTACTTCTAGCTGCTCCATCTTGCATCTCTAATAATTGACATTAGAATCCAACCACTTCTACTTTATCTATAATTATGAAATATCAATTGACCATTAAAGTGATACATTAAATATAATTTAAATATCATTTTAATATTGCGCATACATTAACTCTTTGATACGTATTTTGTAGAGCAACGATTAACAGTTTTATCTTATATATTCTTTCAATTCTCAGTATTGCAATTTAGATTCTTTTTAATTAATATCACCATCAGAAAATATTACTCCAAGAATTACAGTTAAAAATAACATAATAAAGCATAGCAAAATATATAAAAATCTTGCAATCCACCCAGTAAACAAAATATATTTTTCGTTATTTTCTACGTGCATCATTTATATATTTACTTCCATAAATTTCTTATTTTATTATATTTCTGACAAACTAAACTTCAGGAGAAATAAGAGATATGTGACAAACTTATTTTTCAGTTAATTTTACAATAATTAAATTTTAGTAAACTTGAAAAAATTTGAAAACACGATAGAAATTGAGATTACTTCCTCACCAGAGATTTTCCACGAGAAAGGTAAAAAAGTTGAAAATTAATTAAGAATTAAAGAACTGCCGATTGAAATAAGAGTAGGAGTGATTATACAACACCTCGCACTTTAATTATTATTTTAAAATATAATTAAATACAAATTTGCTGTCCACACAAGATTAAGGTATAATCTGAATTTTTCTTAAAATAAAATGGGAAAAATTCACTCAACTTTCTGCAGAGAGATGGAACTTGGATGTGACTAATTTGATTTGTAAAACGGGGGAAAAATCGCTGAACGTTCCATAGGAACTTGCGTGATTTGATGAATTGTATGCGTGAAAAGTCGAGTGTTAAGACAAAAAATAAACAAATAATGTCATTTTACACGCGGTCCAGTGTAATAATGATAGATTGCTAATCTAATAGCAAAATGAAAAAATGCCGTACAGATACGCAGTACTTTTCGACGTGTCACCCCGTATTTTTCGACAGATACGTTCCCAGTCGGCTGATACTTTGAACGATACGAGATCTCGTTGGTTCCACCAGGTTCCACCTTAACATAAGAGGAAGTAATTTCCTAATTTACTAATTTACATTGATGTACATACGCATGTATGTACGTACTCGTACGTACATACATGGCAGTGGCACCGATCACGAATCGCGACGTGACGAAACATAACCTGAGTCCAGTGATGTGCACTATGTTGCACTATGTGCAGCCAGTGCTGCGAGCTGCGGATGCTGCACCTCAGGCAGGCTCCTCTGTACGCAACACGTAATACGCATATGCATGTCGCACGCGTAAATTATGTGACTATGTAACGATTATAACGATGCATCATTTATCCTTGTTGTTCTCATCGAAAGGAATGATAATCAAGGATAAATGATGCGTTAGGTATATGTATGTATACATACATCATGATCATGCGTGAAACACGCAAAACACGGAATGCACCCAAAGACAAGGGTAAAATGCTCGTGCGTGACATGTTCATGGTGTGGGGTTCACCAAGGTTTGTCCTTGTTTAACATTTGATAAACGACAAAGATCAAATGATTCCACGAGCGTTGTGAACGTTTAATGCAACATGGAACTCTGCCCAGAATTGTTAACGAGAGAAGGATACGCGCGGTGAATTTGAACGTGTTATTTCACAAGCATGCTTTCCTTCCACGGTTTGAATTCCAGGATTTCCAGGGCACACAACTACAGGGTTGAATACAGGATTGAGAAAGTTTACTTGCTTAAGTTACTTTATACGCACTCATTATAGAAATTGAGTAGAATAAATATACGAACGCCTCGCGATAAATCAAGTCCGTAGGCCGCGAGCGCGTTCTTCCATCATGTCTCTCAAAATGTTACCTTATCTATAGCTGTATATGCGGTATTCATTATTGGGATCTCCGCTGCGCTCAATCGGTATATGCCGCCGCTATATGCAAGAATCGGTGTTGTACCGTAGTACAATTGAAACACTAAGATCAGGTTTAAGATCGCTTCTTCTAATTAAGAAAATAACTAATTGAGAAAAGGATAACATGACTTAAATTTAGCGTTCATCGTATCTGCAGAATTCACGTTATATATTGCAAAAACTCCCTAATATATATATATAAAACTACGCGAACACTGAGAGGTTCTTACTGTTTCACTATTTCAGTATTCGCGAGATAACGAGGTTTCTCCGCTGATGAAATTTTCCCCAAAACGAATTGAGGTAATGTGTTTGGCAATGGAGGGTATATAGTCTATAACTATATGTTGCAATATCGCGTATTACACGGCCGGCATATGGATTACGGTCCAAACACTGTCTCATTCGACCCTGGTAGCGGAAATGGAATTCTGTAAATCATTATGCAACCGTTATGTGCTCGTAACGACAGTTGCACAGTTATTTTATATCATCATTATATGTATAGTAAAAAATTAATTTCTGCTGCGCAACTGTCGTTATTACTTATATCGACATATAATTCGTTGCAGCTGAATACATCAGGGACTGACGGTTTATGTTTTACTTGGATGAGAATTCCTGCTTGATTGTTTCATCATGGATATCGCGTTATCTTTGTTTTGTAGTTACAAACCGGTTTGCGTTAGTGCATATATATATATATATACATGTAATCTCGAGAGCAAAGCATTCTGTCGAGTAATGATGTAGGTATCACTGGGTATATCACTGTTATCAGTACAAGTACAGTTATACGTGAAAATAAACAGTGGAAGTCTACATCTCGTTGCGTTTACCGTTTGTCAAATCTCGTCCAACGATTGGAAAATTGCGGTGTGACACGTGTCAATGAATGATCCTTGAAACTAAAATTAAAAGACGAGTTTTCGCACTAATTTCTATTTCATTGTGTAAGATAAATATTTAGAAATTGCGTGAGTATATAATATGTCCGTAGTATCCACATGTGATTTCAACGAGTTCGTATTTTAATATGAATAATATCTACTAATCTATTTTTATTTTTATTTTCTTAAACAGCGTGATGAGTTTACCGGCTGCTCTACCATGTGTTTTGTTGTCGAGCAATGATGTTCCTGCTCCCGGTATCGATTTGCTTCGCACAAAGTAAGTCTGAATAAATCTGGAATACTCGAAAGATTATATAAATCATTTATTTTTACTGTTAAATTGTTGATATAGATGTGACGTCACTATTATACCAGCTAGTATAAGCACTCGAGAACAAATGTTGCAAGCTCTTCCTGGACATGACGCTGTATTTTTAGCTAGCCATCATATTGTCAACAGCGAGTTCCTCGATGTCGCTGGTAAAAATCTATTTTATTAATTTTTTCGATACAACTTCCTTTTTGCTTTTCAATTCCATAATTATATGGTCATTCAAATGTTTTCAAACGAAATTATTTAACATTTTTATTAAAAAAAATATACTCCTGAAACTTGATCGTTTCTTATAAATGTTTAGGTAAAATACTAAAAAGTGTAAGAGAAGAATAAGATTTAAAATTATTTAAAGTTAAACTATTAAATAAAACCGATTAGTTTAATAATGAAAACTGACAGCACAGTCCCGACTCCTTGAAACGCGCTAAATAATATATATATATATTTTCATAATTTTAATACCTTTTATGTTTAAACAACAAAATATCATTGCGTCGAGCGATAGTCCTTTCTTGCTTCAATATTGAATAACTCGATAAAAAATAATCGTATAGAGCTTGATAAAGAAGTAAATGAAAGGTAAAGATTCGCTCTTTCGAATGCTGTAAACCGCATTTATGTGCAATTTTTAATTCGCGCTATGGAACTTGATAAATTTCGTAAAAAATTTTGAGATTCGATGCATTTTCATTTATGTTTGCATAATTCTATAAAATATCAGTAAGACCGTTTTCTAAAGTACCGATCTGAAAAATAGAGATTTCAAGCTGTAAAATGCTTTTTTTAAACATCTCAATACCATGATTTTTCACAAAGTTATTCCATCTTGAAATTTGCCTATTTTTACAGGCTGGGTATTATATTTTTCTAAAAAAGCGATTACAAAATTTTATCGTGTGACGAATTCGATTTTCGTTTTTTTTTTCAGGACCAAATTTAAAAGTCGTGTCGACAATGTCGGCTGGGTATGATCATTTAGATGTTCCAGAAATTAAAAGGAGAGGAATCAAAGTTGGTCACACACCGATGGTGCTATCCGCTGCAGTGGCGGAAATTGCTGTGCTCTTAATGTTATCCGCGGCGAGACGCGTTCATGAGGGTCGCATGAAATTGGAAGAGTAATTGTTTTATCTTATTTTAAATTACATAATTTAACCTATTTCTCTCCATTCTCCTATTTATATTTATAAAATAGCTCTTCTTTTTTCCGTATGAATACTCTCTCTCTCTCTCTCTCTCTCTCTCTCTCTCTCTCTCTCTCTCTCTAATATAGCTAAATAGCCTATAAATAAGATAGTAGAATGAAATGGATGGAAATTAATGGCTATCTAATCTTATTGGCTTTTCAAACAAAATCTATGAAAAGCCAATAAGATTAGATAGAAATCGATGTAATCAATATAATCAAAGCATGACAATCTTGTGTTTCGCGGGTTTTCTCCGTGTCCAAATCCATTCTTGGAATGCCAACGTTTCGTGAACCTTGCAGTCCACTTCATCAGGGCGAGGACAAAGCATATTTTTGTTAAATGAATATCAGATCTCTTTCTGACACATTTGATAAATATTTTTTCATTTTATTTTATATTATTTTTACCATTATTATTTTATATTATTTTATTTATACTGAATTAATACACGTGTATTTATATAAAAGATGATATTATTATATCATCTATACATATGAATTCTGGCTGAAAACAATAAAATTATTATTTAATTTATTTTTATCAATCTTTATTTAAGTAGTTGCTTAACTAAAAACTAAATAGTGATAGATGTCATACATGATAATGTAATTAAGAGGCGAGTCAAAATCGAGACCACAATGGTTGCTGGGACAAGATTTACAAGGTTCTACAGTTGGCATCTTTGGCCTAGGAAATATTGGCCAAGCAATAGTTAAACGATTAATGGGGTTCGAAGTAGGGCGTTTCATTTATACCGGACATTCGCGCAAGAAAGCAGGTAAGCAAGTAACTTATTAGAAAATTAAGTAATTTTTTTTCAATTTTAATATGTCATACATATGTATATCTATATTTAATTATGAGGTGGCAATATAATTTATAATTATGTAAAAATCTCCAGTAGAATTTATTCGTAAAAAGTTATGCTGCATTTATATTAAAATAGTGAATTAATATTATAGGATTATTTAAAAAATGTTGCACACACATAACAATCTTTTAATTTAACTAACATGATTCAGGTGATGAACTTGGGGCAACGTTTGTATCTCTGAATGAGCTTCTAGAACAGAGTGATTTTATCGTAATCTCAGCAACTCTAAATAACGAAACTCGAGGACTTTTTGATGACAATACTTTTGATAAGATGAAGAAAACAGCCATCTTCGTAAATGTATCTCGTGGTCAAATTGTCAATACCGATTCACTTGTGAGAGCTCTTCGTAATAAGAAGATATTCGCTGCCGGATTAGACGTTACCGAACCAGAACCGCTACCACCGGGACATGAACTTTTAAAACTACCTAATGTCGGTTGGTAATCATTTTTATTTTTTTGTTATTTTCTTGTAATATACGATATCATACAATTGAGTATTCAATAAATTGATTATGCTCTAGAAATTTTATAATTTAAAAATATTCAAGGAATGTAATACTATTATGATGTATTATAATTTACACATATACATATGTGTATATATATATATATGTATAGTACATATCATTAATTTTTTATTTTGGTAATTACAGCAATTACGCCACACATAGGTAGCGCGACAATCAAGACCCGTAACGATATGTCGATAATCGCTGCGCAAAACATTCTTAATGGCCTTGAGGATAAGCCTTTGGTTTACCCTTTATAGCAACTCACTTTTCTTGTGTTATACATTTCTTACATTTATTAATTTAATAACTTAAAAATATTACTAAAAATGTATGATCATTCATGATGTAACAAGATCCTCTTCGATTCTTCAAATTACACAAATATAATCACTCGACAAATCCTAATCCCAATTTAATTATTTATATAATCAAAATTAATTTATTCATTAAATTTACTGTACTGATTAAAGCTCCTGACTAGTCGCCGCGATCATATTGGATCGTGATGTCAAGTGAGAAATAATACGTTGAAATTTCTTGCCTTTTTCTTTATAAATAGAGAATTTGGATAAAACAAAATTATGAGACTGCTTTTTTCAAAAATGGGTTGCAGCAACTAGTCAGAAGCCCCCGATCCTTAAGTAGGCGCAGAGTGGGGGTTACAGCCACTTTTTCTTTTCTTCTCCTGGATGGTCTCCAATTTTAAAAGGAGTCATAGTATCATGAATAAAATAATCCAGTATTTAGCTTTCTCGGGAGAGGGGGGGGGGGGGGAGGAGTGATTTTGTGTGCCTACTTAAGGGTTAAGCAATCAAATAAATATTACATTTATATTAAGTATATCTCTAGAAATATTTCTAAAAATCATGCTTATCAAATCCAATTATTTCATTAATTGCCATATCGAAATGAATGATCTGATAAAAGGTACTTCGTAGGATATTTTCAAAAATTTTACAAACACATTAGTATATATTTAGATGGTTTAAAGTCTCATGATTTTAAAACTTGTTATTCTCTTCTCTCTTTATCTAAAATCTATCAAATTTCAAAAAGTTTTTAACAATTTATTACTTACTAAATTACTTAATATAATAAATTGGAACGCGCGTTACTACACATGATTTTCATAAAAAATATCAAATATTTTCTTAATAAATAAATAATATAACTTTGATTATATCTCTGCATTTCTCAAAAAGAACCTCTCTCTAATAGATTTCTGGGCTAATATCGATCGGAGAAGATCGCTTCGATGACTTTGACCTTGACTCAATGATTACCTTCAGGAGGTTTTAGCCGTTGTTCGTTATTCGTTAAAGAGTTATTAACCAAAAAGTTTAAGAAATAACGTCTTATTTCTGCTATATAATATTAAGAACTACTCCATATTCCCTCTACTAAGAGACGTTGGATTTTCTACGTGAAGCAAATTCCACTCTACCTCCCACCCCCCTTCCCCCCGCTTAAGAGAACGCGACTTCCACGCAAAGTGAGGGCCACCTCATCCATGATGTAAAAAGACAGGTGTACCATTGCGCATATGATGACACGTGTCGTGACGTAACGATCGTAATGAGCCAATAAGAAATGCCCAGAAGTGCAGAGTGAAATGGAGCAAATGTACAGCAGGGGCCCTATGCCTGAACAAATATTGCATACGAAAATAGCAATTCCGTATACAATTGATCAATCACAATCGAAAAACTCATTTTCGTATGCGAAAATTATTCATATCAAGAATAGGGCCTTAGTGCAGTGTATCTGGGTGTATCACTTCGCAGCCATATTGAATTCTGACATCCTGGGCGATTTCTGATTGGTTCTTTACTTTAAACGACTGCGCATCCATGGGAATGGTCCTGTCTTTTCGCATCAAGACCTCGCCTTTCTTCTACCTATGTCAAGATCAAAGTGATCGGAGCGGTCTCCCTTGATCGGTATATTTACTGATTTCTGTATTAAAGTATCATGTAATAATCATTCTGAAAGATCTTTCACTTTTCAAAACACACTTGCAGCAATATGAATAAACATAAGCAAGTAAAAACGTAAAAACATATTTGATATTCTTGAAAAAAGATTATTGTTTATATAATAATTGCAATAACTTATAAATTCATATGTATATTCATATATAATCAACAGTGTTCAGCATTTATCACCCATAATGGACAACAGGTAACCATCAGGCTTCCACTACTGCATTTTTTAAACTACTTAAGATAGGATCAATCTTATTTTCCAACGATAATACATGACCGGTATTGCAACTGTGACTAGCAATAAAACTAATGACCAATGGCAACTTATTTATCTGAATTACCTAAAAAAGAAAAATAAAGAATATAATAATGTTAAATATTAAATTATTATCAATTTTAAATATTATAAGGTAATTGTGAAAACAACTTCTAAAATCAATCAGCACCAAATTATATTCATACATAATACATTAATAATTTTAAAATTTATTTTGTAATATCTTTAATATAGTTCAAATAATTTAATTTAAATTTAAAAATTAAATTATATATATACATATATAGAAATCACTGTAAAAAAATTATTTGATAATTATAAAAGTATAAACTATTTAATAATAATAAAAGTTTATAATATTTAATAAAATAATATTAAAACCAGTATTAAAACGTATTTATTAAATAAATTATTTTTAATAATATTTAAATAATTGTTCTTTTATCTTTTTGTATTATTTATTATCTCCATGTGTTCATATAATTTTCAAGATCTCAATTATAATTTTGCTTTGAAATTACATAAAATAATATTAAATTTATGCATAAATTTTAATATAAATATATATTTGATACAATTTGTTATGTATTTTACCTGATAATTACTATACATGCATATAATGGTTTTATTTTTGCCAAGCCCCAATTTACTTCCTTGATCCGTAGCCATTCCAAAAGTAGATAAAAAACTGGCTCTTGTAGCTAACTCTGGCGCCTTTTCATTAGCTACAGATATAACAGGTACTCCATCCCTGTCAGTAATTAATATACTATGCAAACCTTCCACATCAGTTAACAGTCCGTAGAGAAATTTCTTCAATTCCTAAAATAACAAAATTATAATTCAAATAAACGATATTTCAAAAAGAATTTGATAATTACCAATGTGTTTAATCTGCTTCAATTATTGTATCAATTGTAAATATATAACAATATAGTATTATATGTAGATATAAATACAAAAAGATGATTGGTTTCAATAAAAAAAGCATAAAGATGGCACACAATAAGAAGTTTTAAAAATATTTGTCAGAATAAAATTTCTTGTAAACATAATTTGTTTTATAAAACTTGTTTTGACACAAATGCTTCAAAAATTGTGCAAAATTTCAGATTAAAATGTTATTTATTATATTTATTTCAAAGAAATACTATATATATATATATATAACTGATAATTAATAGAATAGCAAGCTTGAAAAATTTTTTACAAGTTTTAAAAAAGATTTTTTAACGTCAGATGTGCAATTTTTTAAGAGATTTTGCACAGTATCCTTTATAAATCATTCTAATGATCTGACCAATCAAATCTGTTAAAAAACAGATTTTGAAAGTATGCTATGATTTTATTGAGAATATCATCAGATTTGGTTGTTACAAGCTTCAACATGGTCCTGCCATAGCTCCTTGCTTGGTGGAACACGCAATACAAATAAATCTAAAGCTGATTCTACAATGAATAGATAGTCGAAAATTTTAAGTTTTAACTAATCTTAACCAAAATAGAACACTGTGATTTTTTGCATCTGCAAGTTGTTAATTATACAGCGAATCATTTAGCTCGACTAATGGGAGAATAAATATTAAGTCGAATTTGGCCAGTCTTAAAAAAATTGGTAGTCTTCATTGTACAAGTTGGCTGCTGGCCAATTTCACTGATTCACCGATAAGACTTAGGAATTACCAACTCATTATAGAATCAGCATAATAGAAATAGAAGATAATATAATGGTAAATTGATTGCAGAAATTAAACAAAAGTTGCCATTTCATAATCATTTAAATGATGTATTCTTTTGTAATTTTGAGGATAATAAAGATTCATCTTCATCTAAATTATTTATTCCATTTAAATGTTTATAACCTGACAGATTGTATGTAGTTTTTATTAATAAACTGCTGATAGATAATATCGACAGGCTCTGCCAACAAAACAGGAGTATAGACACAGACAATATCTGACAATGAGGAAATCTGTCTTCTGTTATCATACAACAGACAGTTTGCTTTCATGGAGATGAGCTTAAACAAACTTTTATCAATACGTCTACTATTTATATCTATATGCAATATATGATCTATTCTTTTTGTCACAATTTTTAAAACTTCTACAACAGCATGATAAAAAGATTTATAATAATATATATAAAGCTGATTTTCTACAATGAGTCGGAGTAGTCGAAAATCTTAAAAATAAACAGTCTTAATCTAAATAGGTGACTATGACTTTTCGCGTTTATAAGTAGTTAAATGTACAGCGAGTCATTTACCTCAACTAATAGGAAGGAGTAAACTCAAACTCGAATTTGGCCAATCTTAAGAAACTTGGCTAACTTGATCGATTCACGGTTAAGATGTAGGACTACCGATTACAGAGGGTGCTTTCCAGCAAGGACACAATCAAACACAGTGTAACACAGTGAATCGTTTCATCCTTGTTTAACGTAAGCAAACAACAAGGACGTATGATTCACTGTGTTACACTGTGTCTGACTGTGTCCCTTGCTGGAAAGCACCCACTCTCATTGAAGAATCATCATAAACAAAACAAAGCGTATAACCTCAAACTTAATGTAAAAGCTTTTCTACACCGGATGTCCGAACTTACAACTGTCATTCTTTCCAAGGAACGTGGACGAATCTGCAAACGACAACCAAGTGACAGGATTAATCCTCTGAAGCGCACGCTACTGATTGTTGACTGACTATAGGACTATAGGAGTTATAGGACAGTATAGGATAGATGCCCGTTTCCATCAATGTAGATTATAAGCGTTTTTCATTGGCAGAACAGAACTAGTGCGCACTCAATGCACTTTAAAGCCGTTGCATGTACAAAAACTACCGTAAAGATATGCGTTTAAAATAAAAATATATAAACGAATTAAACCGTGAAATATTCGATACATTTTATTGTGCTATTTGATAAAATAAATTTTGGGCATTTTATCTTACTTTCAAGGGCCGTCTACAATACACGGAGTAAGAAGCAAGAGTAAGAAATTGACCAATCACAGTCGAATGTGAGAAAAATAATCGACTGTGATTGGTCAATTTCTTACTCTTACTTCTTACTCCGTGTATTGTAGACGGGCCTTTACTTACGTCTACAACTTAAGACTGCCGTAAAGCGTTACGGCAATCCTTGTGTTCATACTCTAAGCTTGATCGGCGTTGGTGAAATCGGCCCCTAAAGCCAGAATCAGACCATGCAGCAATAAAAAAGACCTACAGTCATAGGCAGAAAGGTAGCAACATTTTTTTTCGATTAATTTTACTAATTGACCAATCAAAAAATGCTTCGAAGCGTAAAGTTACTAAATGTATGGCAAAATAAACTTAGACGATAACATTATAATGCTATTTATAGCATTTTATAAGTCTAAAGAATATTAGGAAAAATTTTCAGAATATTTTATTTATTTCGGATAAAGCGAATTAGGTAACAATAGATAAATTCATTAAGCCAAAAAATAAATATCTATTTTCAATGATTTCTATAAATATCTTGTGTCATCTTTGTAGCCGTACTGTTTTTAAACATGGCTGGCCATACCTTTTTACAGCCTCTTCAAGGAAAGCATTCTCCATTTGTCTCACAATTTCATTAAAAAATAAATTTGACAAATGAGAATAAATGGTAGACTTAAACTCGAAAGACAAGGAGAAGTCGATCACACATGTTTCTAAATTATTTTTCAGTCCAGGACTAAACAACCACAAGGTATCTAAATGATGAAACAATCTGCCATCCTTACATTCGGCTTTAACTAGCCTTGGATATACTGTAGTCACCGTTGAAGTATAATTTTCATTTATAGGTGGAAATCCAATTACTAAATTGGCCTTCAAGAAGTCTTTGGTTTTCCAAGTAATTTCAGATTTTTTGCAAAAGGGTAAAAAATTTTTATAATTTCCCACATCGGCAACTACGTAGTACATTTTCTCCATTGAAAAGCTAAAGAACAAAAAAATTTGGGTACTTGGATATATTCTATAATGAAAACATACAATTTATAATATATATATGAATTACTAAATAGGTTTGTTTCTTTTAGCTAAACTTATTGCATAATACTCATTTTTCCCTTACTCATTTTTCTGCCTACTGTAAGAAAAAAAAAGAGAGAAAGCATGAATTGTGCAACAAGATCAATTAAAACAAACAGGTCTAATATGTCAAAATATTATAATAGTAAAATAGTTTGCAGTGTAAATATATAAATATCATTTTAAATATTATTTAATATAGTATAATATAAAATAATAACAAAATAAAAGGATTATTTAAAAAATCTTTTTCTATCTGTTCTTATTACCCTACTAATTTGCGACCTTCGTATTCTTTGGTTTTATGATTTGCTCGTGTTCTGTACATTCGCCACAAATTCCATTTAGAAGAATCATATTTCCATGGCAACGTTAATTGCGTCAGGATCAATGCTTGCCTAAAATGTTTTTACAAACTGGTAAAATGTTCTTACAGCTTTGCATCCCTCTGCTCAAAAGTTAAAATTAAAATTGGGCTTACTTGATGCATTTTTGTATGATGTGAAAGAATCTAGCAGAAATAAATGTCACGCTCTGCCCTACAAGCCAAGATATTAGTTGATAAAGTTGACAATTATTTGAATTAGGAAATAGGTGAGCATGCGCTGCTATTACATTTTTGTGCTTTATAGCCATATACGTATACGTTTTAGGTATTTCTCGCAGTTTCAGGTACTTTTGTTTTAAAAATGAAAATTATATAAGAAAATAATTTGTGCTTTTAAAGCAGAGAATTTATGTAATTAAAGCAAAAAATATTTATTCTAGCCTCACTTACATGTCTCTTGTCCCTCTATGCCATCGATGTAACAGATTTCCTAACCTACATCGTCAACTTTAACGAGTAACATCTCTGTTCTCGGGGTCTCAGGGCACAGCGATGCTTATTTCTGCCAGATTCTTTCGTTTCATACAAAAATGCCTAATGTCGAATAAGCCTAATTTTATTAATTTTTGAACTGCGGGGTGTGAAATTGTATAATTAAAATTACATGAAATACATTACCTGTGCATGTCGAGTATAAAATATTCAATTAAGTTACAATATTTGACAATGCACGTTTAGCTTTAGCCCCTCACATGTCAAAACCTCATATAACCTAAAAATAGAGCTAACGCCATTCTATGTTTAATTGTCGATTGTATCATGTAGGTACGCGAGACAATTGTAATCATAATTTTTTTGGTAATTATTTAGAATAATTGCTCCCCCCCCTCTCCCCCACTTCAAATCTTAATAAGAATATACTTATTCGACGTGTTTTCACTCAAAACGAATCTGGCAAAAAAAAAAAAACGCGGCGGTTGGCCTCGTGAATCGAGTTATTAAGTGTTAAAGTTGGAGACTTTAGAGATTAGCATGTCATCCCAATTCAATACAGCTCTATGTATAAGTTCTGCATTAATTACATAAATTTGCTGCTTTAAAAACACAAATTTACAGCTTTAAAAACATAAATTTGCTGCTTTAAAAACACAAATTCATTACTAATGCAAAGAATTTGTGTGCTTAAAGCAGTGAATTTGTATAATTAATGCGCAGAACGTATACATAATATACGCTATATTGAGTCAGGATGACAGATATTCTGATAGCAAAATGTTAGCAATTTGGGGCCAAATTGGCAGCAAACCCCATCAGATTTTGACTACAAAACCTTAGCTATCTATCTGTGTCCGTATTTGGCTATGGATTTGTCGACAAAGTCTATTGACAGGCTATGGTGGCAGAAACCGAGCAGAGTCTGCTTGAATCAGATTCTGCTCTCAATCAGCCGTCAGGTCATGCAAGGCTTTGCTCAGTTTCTGCTACCAATCTGCTGGCATAGCATGTCTAACAAGCTTTGTTATATTTCTGACAGCAATTTACTGATAATGTCAGATAATACAAATTCTGTACATAATTTGGTGCCTTTCTGCAATTAACAATTAGTAACAGGCTCTGTTCAAAATCTGTCTCCGCAGGCTTTGCTATCACGGTACCTTAACCTCTAAAGTCTCCAACTAACATTTAATAACTCGATTCAAGAGATCGACCGCCTCGTTTTTTTCACCCCAGATTTTTTCGTTTTGAGTGAAAACACGTCGAATAAGCGTATTTTTATTAAGATTTGAGGTGAGGGGGCTATTCTAAATAATTACCCATTCTGTTGCGCTTGTACATATAGCTATCTGTAATCGCTTCATTTTCGCTTTCAGCTCGCTATTCTGTAAAAACAACGCGTATTTATCAAATTACTACGTTTGTATTTACATAAACTTGGTTATAATTAAAATATATAACAAAGTACTTTGTTACTATACGCTAATAGGTGTTTCTAGAGGTGTTCTTGTAGTTGGGTTCATGTTGAGGCTGTTGGAGTGCAGAGAGTGGTTCAACGCTCAGTCGTTCAGTGCGATTCGTGCGTCAATGCGTGTCGAGACTCGAGCGTCAAGCATTGTGAGATTTCTATTCGTCAATTTTGACGTCACGTGACCTGTTTTAAGCGAATAATAAAGGCCCGTCTATAATACGCGGAGTAAGAAGTAAGAGTAAGAAATTGACCAATCACAATCGATTATTCTTCTCACATTCGACTGTGATTGGTCAATTTCTTACTCTTACTTCTTACTCACTGTATTGTAGACAGGCCTTCACAGTCGAATGTGAGAAGAATAGTCGACTGTGATTGGTCAATTTCTTACTCTTACTTTTTACTTCGTGTATTGTAGACGACGCCTTACGTTTTTGTATGTGCCGTGGACTATTTTTCCATCAAGAACGGAATGCAACCCTTGTCGGCCCTTGCGTTTAAAGTTCTTTCAAGTTCGAATCATGCAGAATTTAACCAAGTACTCAAAGCGACATTATATAGCGCCAAGTCGAATATTTAATTTCCCATCCAAAAGAATTTATTTTTCCAACGAAAAACTTGTTTACAACGTTAAACACTTGAATTACGTGCACAATAATGGAGCTAATAGGTTATTTCTCTCTATGTCTTATCATGTAAGTATCAACATGTTTCTGTGATCTTTTATTCCGATTTCTATTTATTTAACTAATTAATTTTTAATTTGTCTCAATAAGCAAACTGCCTGCAATACATCAACAGATTGGCAGCAGATATTGCAATAGATTATGCGTTTACCTATTTAAAGATATCATATCTTAAAGTATCACCAAAAATATTTACCAAAAATTTGATAAAATTTCTATTGCTATGTATGAATATCTATGTAAAATTTGAGTATAATTCTTTCATTGATGTAAGTTATTTAATTTTTTTGTTTGATTCTTATGTAAAATTGCATTTTGTATTGCATACTTATTTGCAAATTTGATAAGGTCGTAGCATTAGGTATTAAATTCTATTTTTTATATATGCTAATAAAACTCGCATAAATATCCTTGTTCATTTGTGTGGATCTACTTACTCATTTCAAGTTATTTGCCTAAAATTGAGGTCTGTTCTTTTTAGCTTCTTTTTTTCTTATCTCGCAGAGTTTATCTTTTCTCTTTTTTTTCAAGGAAAATAAGATTTTAGCGAAAAAGAACAGACCTATGGTAATTGCGCTATAAAAAAGTTAAATTAGTAAATTATTATTTGTACATATTATAATTAAATGATCATTATTCCATTGAAAATTATTTATTTTATATTTTACAATTGGTTACAGGACATATTTATAATAAAAATTTTTTGATTGATATTAGCTAATATTGTACAGCTAAAACATTCTTAAACTCTTGTTTAATCGGCATAGTAGAATTTGTGATATAATCTGTTTTTTGTTCCTGCACTAGACTGCATTAGAATTCTCTCGCTTTTGACATATATCTAACTTTAAGTTGCAAAAGTGTACACTAGTTCAGCCAAAAACACTTCCAATTAACAGATTGTTGACAAAAGTCAAATAGAATCAGCAGAGTTTGCTCAGTTTCTGTGGTCAATCCATTACATTCTCTTAGATTCTTTATATTTTTGCTGGCATTCTACTGACAAAATTTGTAGCAGATACTTACAAAATATATTTTTGACAGATTTGGTTATTCCAGTGTAATAACAATCAGCCTGAATGATCTTTATATAGATATAATATGGATATATTTGATAGAAAAGAAAATCATTAATGAGAATATGCACCTACATAATCAAGTTTGTTTGGAAACAGATTTTACAAGACATCTGCTACAAATTTTGTCAGAAAAAATCCAGTAAAAGTAGCGAAATTTACTAATATAGAATAAGATGGCAAATTTAATGTAAATATCATCGAGCAGTTTGCCATTTCACAATTTAAATAATATATTTTATTAAAATGGTTACAAAATGATAGATTCTGTCTGGTTTCAGCTGATAATCTGTTGTAAGATTTATGTCAGCAGTCTCTAGCAGAACACAAGCTTAATGCAAATGCAACTGCCAATCTGTCGTAATATTCTATTTGAATCTGATTGCAAACTGCTAGATTTGTTAATAATTTGCTCAATTTGTTTTTAGGCTTATAAGAAAATTCGTAAAGAATTTCATACTGTGCAGTCGACATTGTTGTGCAGTAGTAAATTTAGCTTTTCTCCAAGATTTAATAGTATCAGATATTTTAATACTACATGTAGTAATTCCAATAAACAATCACCAAAGAAATCAGACGTAGAAAATTCAGACAAGAAGCCTGACAAAAATGAAGATATGAAATCAGTTCTCACTAAGCTCTCTATGTGGCTTATGCTTATATACCTTACATTAATTGCATTGAAATACCACATAGAAACGTATTCAAATTCAGAAGTAAGTTTTCTATCAATAACATTTGTCATAGGAATTATTTAAGAAGTATAAAGTATTACAATGTTTACATAGCCTGCAGCTTCTGTCTCCTGGAATGAATTTGTATACGACATGTTGAATAAAGGAGAAGTCGAAGCGATTATTGTAAATCCTACTATTGACCATGTTATAATTGTGGTGCACGATGGTGCTATTATTAAAGGAAAGAGAAACCCGTACAAGAGATACCATATGGCTGTTCCAAGTATTGAGAATTTTGAAGAGAAACTGAGGAAGGTGGAAAAAAGTCTTGGCATAAAAGCAGGTAAATAAATCACTTGCAAAGTATTAACAAACACCATGTACTAGAGTGACAATCTTTTAATAAACTGTTTTAGGCCAAGGAGTACAAGTAATTTACGAAAGGAAGACAGAATATATAGCGAGTGTCATAAAACTTGTACTTGTTGCATTGACAGCCGCCATCGCTTTTAGTTTTGTGAGAAAACGTTTCTCTTTTAACCCTTTCGAAATTATTTCGCAAATGAAACAGGCAAAATTTACTCTAGTCGAACCGTTGATGGGAAAGGGTAAAGGTGTACGTTTTGGAGATGTAGCTGGATTAAAGGAAGCTAAAATAGAAGTGATGGAGTTTGTTGATTATCTGAAAAAACCAGAACGGTATAAATTACTGGGCGCTAAAATACCCCAAGGCAAGTGCACCAAAACACACACACATTTATATATAAATAAAACATCATTCTAAGTTTCTTTATGTCATAAATTGAATTCTAAAAATATAATTCTATTTTCAGGCGTTTTACTTTTGGGACCTCCTGGGTGCGGTAAAACATTACTGGCCAAAGCTGTGGCGACTGAAGCGAGCGTTCCTTTCCTATCTATGAATGGCTCCGAATTTATTGAGGTATTCGGTGGTTTAGGTGCTGCTCGAGTCAGACATTTGTTTAAAGAGGCTAAAAAGAGGTTTGTCTGTTTCTTCCTAAGTTTATTTTAATAATACTTTAATATCCGTTTTAATTCCTTAGAGCACCAAGTATTATATATATCGATGAAATTGACGCAATTGGCAAAAAACGTTCAGAAAGCTCACTCGGAATTGGTGACCGAGAATCTGAACGAACGTTGAATCAACTTTTAGTCGAAATGGATGGGATGATAGCAAAAGAAAATGTCATTATATTGGCCTCAACGAATAGGGCGGATGTATTGGACAAGGCATTATTGAGACCTGGTAGATTTGATCGACACATTTTAATCGATCTTCCCACATTGGAGGAAAGACAGCAGATCTTCGAGACTCATCTAAAAAAAATATCTCTTGAAGACAAACCTTCGAAATATTCGAGATATCTGGCTTTTCTTACACCCGGTTTCAGTGGTATTGCACTTATTTATATATAAAAAGAACTTTATATAAACACTGTTTCAATAATTGTACGAATAAATAATGTTTCAGGTGCTGACATAGCAAATGTTTGTAACGAAGCCGCACTACATGCTGCGAGAGATAAGAAGAAACAAGTAGACAGTAATGATCTTACATACGCAATTGACAGAACGATTGGTGGTTTGATAAAGAGAAATAATCCGTTAACACCATCCACGAAACGCATCGTCGCCTATCATGAGGCTGGTCATGCGTTAGTAGGATGGTTAATGGAACATACCGATGCCTTGCTCAAAGTAACGATAGTGCCACGAACAAATTTAAAACTAGGATTTGCGCAATATACTCAATCCGATCAGAAGCTCTACAATAAAGAGCAACTCTTCGAACGCATGTGTATGACATTAGGTGGTCGAGTCGCGGAATATGTGACATTCGATAAAATCTCGACGGGCGCCGAAAATGATTTGAAGACTGTAACAAAAACGGCATATCTTCAGGTCCAACAATTTGGAATGAGTCCAGCTGTGGGTTTAGTTTCTTTCGACGAAGAACGTACTAACACGGTATAAAATAGTATTTCTGTGTGAATTTTCTATTCATTATATTTGCGAGCATCATGTTTAATTTATCTTTTTTAGAAAAATAAGCCATATAGTAAAAAGTTAGCAAATTTAATGGACGCCGAAGTAAGAAGAATAATAGGCGAAGCATATGAACGAACTAAACAGTTGCTTTTGGATAACAAAGACAAATTAGATATAGTATGTATATTTGGACATATATTTAGGATTATAATTAAACACTAACGCATAAGTTTGCGTGAAGCCCCTCCAATTATCTTGGTCTTGATATTCATTGTTAAAATCATAACACTGAGTAACAATCAAAAAGTTTTACCCATTGCTGGTTGTTTATTTAAAAGTTATTAACAAAAGAAGTTCCAAAATTAGTTTTCTAACACCATGTGTGTTGAACATATCTATTAAATATATCTATTTTATTGAATATATATATATATATATATATATATATATATATATATATATATTGTTTCATATTTACCTACTATGACTAATATTCTTTTACAGTTTGCGCTTCTCGACCTTGGTTAATACTTTTCCTTGGCTTCCTATTGATTGTTGGCTTGGGACATGGAA